CTCATCAACTGAACAATTTAGTGAATGCTGAGAAATTTTTTATTCAACGTGAAAGGATTTAGAGAGTTTTTAAAAGATTTAATCAGAAATATTTTTTGAAGATTCTAGAAATTTTGAGGGGGAGTGTAGAGTTTTTCCTTTCCGACGGTAATACTATGCACCTCTCCTGCTTGACGAGAGCTGGTTATAGAGTGAGGTAAGGGTTGGGACAGAGGTGGCCTTTGATTTCAATCCAGGGGCGGCTAGGGAATAGGGTATGGATTTGTGGACCAAATTTCCACACCTGACTCATCCTGGTCTCTCGAACTTGTTCTGAAAGGCAATTTCCAGACGTGAAAAGCTGTCCCTCGGCATTGATTCGCTGTTAGCGATGTCGATCTTGATGATGATGGTCTCGGAGCAGATGCCGACTACGAGTGACTATGTGCCGCTTTTTGGTGAGTTATATGCACTCCACTATCCCAGGTTTTCAAAAATCTTGTCAATTACTTCCATAGAATCTCACCGCCCGTTGAGCTCTTCGCGTTACTCCACGCATCAACATTCTGCTCATTTACCCATATTTAAATGATTGTATTGAGTCGTTGGGGCTCCATTACTCTTTGAGGTCTGATTCACCTCAGTATTAAATATGTACACTGGTGTGCAAAACTTAGGGACGAACGTAGCTTTTCCAACGACGTGTTACTGGCGCGTAACATGACTCTATGGAACCTAACCACACATACAAAGAGCTGCCACAGGGCACTAAAGAAAGCAGTTAACAGGAACCGTTAAACGGTCCACAAAGCTATCAAAAGGTTATGATACTTCATCTGTCTCGTCCTTAAGTTTTGCACACCAGTGTAATAATTTCTATGCCAGAGAAAAGTTCCGTGTGGTTGATTTAACTCCTGGTTTCAATCAATCAGTACGATCTTCCCCGGGTGGCTGCGTGGCGCATATGATGCATTACGTGGCACGCAAAGGGGCAGAAAATTCTCTACTAAGAGATGCAAAACTAGGGTCAACCGCTCTTCGAGTTGCTCGAACCGGAGAGTGTTTGCAATTCAGGGGAAGGGGTCACAACCGAGGCTTTCGAACCATCTTCTTTCAAGACATCAAGCATAGCAGGGAGGAGAAGTAATGGAGTAAAAGGTGAGGAGAGGGGGAGGTGCTGCCCCTTCCAAGCCAACTCTTCCAATACGACCCCCTCTTTCTTGAACAGCCGCCTCTTATAACCTTCGGAGCATTTTATGCTTCTTTTCCAAAAATTATTCTAAAGTTACCTAAAACCCTTCACAGAAGAACTTTCCTTCTCCCACGATCACCACCTTTGCAACTTGATTTGATTTGAATTGATTTATTACATGAGTCAGCTCGTGTGAAAGTAACAAACACAAAACAGGAACTATTGATAACTAAATAAGATTAAAAACATAAGCTATGATGTAGAAAAGAGTTCTTCGAAAATGACGTTCGTGGACCCCAATTACGACCCCGTTCCTCAAAATTCTCAAGGAACCTTAAGTCACAGTGCTGGAATCCAGCAGAGTGGCTGACGAACTTCTTCAACCAAGTCGTCGCAGAAAAGAAAGTGCCGGAGAGTTGGCAACAGAGTACGACGATCCCGATTTGGAAGAAAAAGGGGAGTCCTGCAGATTGCACGAGCTACCGACCAACATTCGTCTGCTCTCCGACGTCTGCTCTCCCACAGCATGAAGGTATTCGAACGAATTGTAGATCGCCGTATTCGTGACATAGTCCAGCTTACCGTGAACCAATGCGGCTTCGTGACTGGCTGCGGCACCATTGATGCCATACACGCCGCTCGTCTTCTGCTAGAAAAACACCGTGAAAAACAAAAGCCGGTGCATTTTGCCTTTCTAGACTTGGAGAAGGCTTTCGATCGCGTTCCACGTGAAGTTATATGGTATGCCTTACGACAACATGGCGTCCCGAAGAGCTTATTGAGTGGGTTCGCATGCTTTACTCGAGCCCAAAGAGCCGAGTGCAAACGTCAGCTGGCGTTTCGACGGAATTCCCCATCTCTGTTGGGGTACATCAGGGCTCTGCGCTTCCCCACTTCTTTTCGTTGTCGTCATGGATGCCATCTCACGAGATCTTCAGAAACCGGCTCCATGGACGCTTCTCTATGCTGATGACGTGATGCTCGCCTGCGAAGACAAAAACGTACTCGAACAACAAGCGCAAGCTTGGTGCGATCGCCTAGCGATGTTCGGACTCAGGTTGAACGTTAGGAAGACTGAGTACCTGACAACCGACACGAGCGAGTGCGGTTCTATCAAAATAAATGGAGTAGAGCTGACACGTGCAACGACATTCAAGTACCTTGGATCAGCAATTGCGTCTGATGGCAGTATGAGTACTGAGGTGAACTCGCGTGTGAGTGCGGCTTGGTCCAAGTGGCGTTCTATGACGGGAGTTCTCTGTGACAAGAAAATCCCAGAACGCCTAAAATCGAAGATCTATAGGACAGTCATAAGACCAGTGGCATTGTACGGCGCTGAGTGCTGGCCAGCGACCAGGGACACTGAAACTCGCCTCGGTGTAATGGAGACGAAGATGCTGCGCTGGACGGCTGGTGTCACGCGATTAGATCGCGTTCGGAACGATGTCATACGAGAACGCTTTGGTGTAGCTCCCATTGCTGATAAAATGCGCGAAGCTCGGCTTCGATGGTTTGGCCACGTTCTTCGCGGAAATGATGACAGTGTTCGCAAGATCGGCCTCAACATAGACGTGCACGGAAAGCGGCCCAAGGGGCGCCCGAAACAGCGCTGGCTCGATACGTTGCACGCAGACTTGAAGTTGGTTAACATCCACCCCGACCAAGCATTTAATCGGGAAAAGTGGCGACAGCACATCAGAAAAGCGGACCCCGCCAACAAGCGGGACAAACGCTGAAGAATAAGAAGAAGAAGAAGAAGAAGAATTACCAGTTGTGAAAAACAGAGAAAAATTTCAAGGAATTTTCGTTTCCCATTTCCGTCCCATCCGCCCCACCCTTCGGAGAAGCATACCTTACAGCCTAGATCTAATCGATGGCCAAAAGAAGGTTTTTCGTACCACAAAGGGCAAGATCCAACCCTACTTAACACGTTGCTGAACAGTGATTAAGTGCTCAATGAGCCAGGAAAAAGGAATTTGAGAGACAATAGATAAACCGTCTGACGCTAGTTGATTCCCGATGCAGTACGTAGTTGAGCCCCTTTTGGAAACGGAAAAACATTCAGGCATACTGACCTACATCCCCTTCAAAGGTAAAAAGTCTATCGAACTCATAAGGATGGAGATGAAAGGTTTGCCGCCTGGACAAATCAAGATACAGGGTACCTGGTACCAAAGTCCTTTGTGAGCGCAAAACCGCTGAGAAACGAGCGAGACTATACATCCTCCTGCGTTTCCCATAGCATCAATCATAT